GGCAGGATTGATATAGGTCTGTAGTTGTTAACATCTGTGGGGTCACCACATTTGTGGACAGGCGTTACTCTCGCTTTTTTTAGAATATCTGGAAAGGTTTGGAGTTCAAGTGACTTGTTGAAGAGCAAAGCAATAGCAGGGGCTAAAGATCTAGAGGCTTTTTTGTAAATTAAAGTTGGTATCTCCTCAAGGGCACCAGACTTGGTTTTAAGGGAAAGGATTATCTCATTGACGTCAGTGGAGTTAATAGGCTTTAGGTACAGAGACTGTGGATAGTTACCTGTAAGATAGTCCTTAATGTCAGTACTGGAAGATGGAATATCATTTGCAAGGGATGAACCAATGGAAGAGAAGAACCTATTGAACTCAATAGCAGAATCAGAGGCTGAAAGCTGACCATCGTTATTAGACAGGAGAGTCGGTTTGTTATTTAAAGATTTCTTTGATCCCAATATTTGTGAAATTGTGCTCCAAGTTTGTTTAATGTTGCTCTTTATTTGAGTAAATTTATCTTCGTAGTATTTAGTTTTGGCTCGTCTAATTATCTTAGATAGCAATAATGAGTAATTCTTTGAGAATTCTTTGGAGACAATTCCTAACCTATACTTCTTCTCAAGGTCGTGTTTTTTGTTAATGGATTTCAGTATTCCCTTTGTAAGCCAAGGATTGTTAAGCCTTTTGCTTGTGACTTGTTTTGTAAGCCTAGGACAGTGGGTGTTATAAAGGCTAAGAGTTGTTTGTAGAAAAGATTGCACTGCTAGGTTGATGTCCCCTATGTTACCTAACTCGGACTCCCAGTTGACATTATCAGCAGCAGTTATAAAATTGTTTATAGCAGTTTCATTGTGCAGCCTAAAGCTTAACTCCCTTGTTTCTAGAGGTGGTTTGCTAATGTTAGTTAAGAGAAATGTGGGGTAGTGGTCTGTAGTGCTATCGGTGATTATACCTGAAGTAAGGGGAGAGGTTATGTTGGTCCAGATGTGATCTAGAGTCGTGGCAGTGCTATCAGTGATTCTAGTAGGCCTAGTGATTAAGGGTATGAGGAGGCAGGAATTCATACAGTTGAGGAAGCTAACAGCAGTAGGGTGTTCTGGCTCGCAGAGGTCAATATTAAAGTCCCCTGCGATAATTAGGTGGTTTTTGTTCAGTCTGTTATCAAGTATTAGATTTCTAAGGTTTGAGTTGAATACAGACACATCAGTGTTGGGAATTCTATAGACTGCACCCACAGACAGGACAGACTCGGCACCCTTGACTCTGAAGCTGGCGAAGATATACTCCCCATAGCAGTCTCTAGTTCTAATTTCTTTTAAGCATGTTAGTTCATGGTGGTAGTAAAGAGCAGTGCCACCACCTCTCTGAAGTTGACGACAGTTGTGAATTGCTGAGTAGTTAGGCATGTTAAAGAGTTGAGTAGTATCCTCTTTCAACCATGTTTCAGTAAGTATAATAAAAGAGAATTTGTTGCCAATAGTTTCAATCAAGGCACTAACATCATCGAAGTGTTTCCCTAGGGATCTAACATTCAAATTGATTACAGAGATATTGTGATTATGAGTTAATACATTGTTTACATCATGTGCTGCAAAATATCTGCAATTTAGATCATTAAAGTGATTATTGTCATAGATAGTGGATAAGAGGTTAAGTTCTGGGTCTATACTTGACTGCATAAAAAAAGCTGATTGTAGAATCAGAAATAAGTAGAAATAAGCTATAAAATAGGGAAAAATATATACACAATACTGTACAAAACAAACACAAAAGGGGCTTACAGGGGTACAATGGAGTAAGGGAGTATGGCTAGGCTAGGCAACCTAGGCAATTAATGAGATTAAAGAAAAAACATGTAAACATGGACTATACAAAACACAAGATATGGAAATACAAAACAAAAAAATATAAGCAAGACTAAGCAATACAAAAAAAAAAAAAAAATTGAGCAAAAATGAGGTAGATTGCTTAAGAGTACTCACAGGTACACTGTAAGTAACAATTTGCAATTTGAGATGCAGGCAAAGCCAGGGGTACAATGGAGTAAGGGAGCATGGCAAGGCTAGGCAACCTAGGTAATAAATGAGATCAAAGAAAAGTTGAATAATAAACATAGGCAAATTTAAGCTAATGATTAATAACTATAGATAGTTCAGTAATGACTGTATAATTAAAAAGACCTGAAGAACTACTTAATAACTCAATTAAATAAATTCGGTAAATGACTAGGTAAGAGTAAGTTAAAAATTAAGTCAGAAAATGAACCAAGGAGACTTAGGATACCTAGCCCCACTAGTTGACAGGGGGTTAATTAAGTTAATTCATTGGGAGTGATAATAAGGTGAGACAAACCACATTGGGAGAGGAAAGTGTTGAGGTTTTCTTCTCTTGTAATAGTAAACATTTTCATTGACATTTTTTCAACATAACATTTTAACATAACGTAACATAACATAACATAACGAAAACATTTTTTCGTTTAATTTCATTGCTTATTGTTAATGACAATAATTGTTATTGTAGTTGTTAAACAGCTTTGTGTTGTAAGCAATACTAGCTTGTTGTTAAACTACTTATTATATACGGTGCTTAAACTGTATGGCTTGTAAATTGTATAACTTGTCTCATATTACAGGTTACTACACTGCTATTGTCGATAAAGCCACAAGTCTGGCGACGCCTTTGTTTTAGCACAGGTGGCTTGATCAACTAAATGTGACGTACCTAACCAATAGCCTGGATCCCATCACAGCTCCTGACGCAAGTCTCACTACCTCCCCTACCACTCGTGGGGGGGGGGGGGGCTTCTACAAGGTCGACCACTAGGTTGATCTCGACTTCAGCTCCGCCAAAGACCCCAGGCTGCACAAGCAGCAGCGTCCTTCATTCCAGCCCCAAAAGCTGCCACCATCACCGTCTGAGCCGAGGCGCTCGCAGACTTGCTCTATCCTACCCTACTTAACTCAAACCTTACTCAAAAGGTCTCACCTTACTCAACTTACCCTTACCTTACTCAAAAGTAAAATAAAAAATACCTGATTTCATCCTCCATAGTTTCCTACCTTGTGCTTCAAACTCGCACTGTATCTTGTACTACCCACTTCCCAAATATTAGTACTTGAGACGTGTATCTTCAGTGTAATCCCCTCTGTCAATTTATATTGAAGTTACATGTTGATATAAAATTTTGTTACAATGTATCTCTTCATCTTATCTTGTGTTAAATTAAGGACCTGCCCAAAATGCTATGAGTATTAGTGACTTTGCAAGAATGTAAAAAAATCAGTATCTATATAATCTCGCAAGCCCATTTTACCCCTGATTCCATGTACGACTAACCATCCTGTGAGAAGAATATTAGATGAACTTATAGCTAGGTTTTTATCTACGCTGTTTAATCTTTCATCAAATCAAATGTTTATTTAGGTAAGGTACATACATACAAGAGATTTTACAAAGAGTGATGGATTTATAGATAGAGCTAGTACATACAATGCCTAAAGCCACTATTACGCAAAGCGTTTCGGGCATGAAAAACTTAAATGACTAAAGCTTAATACTAATTGAGCATAATGAATAAAAGGAGTTGAGAACAAATAAAAAAAAGAGATAAAAAGGGGGGGGAACATGGCTGAAAAAGCAGCACAAATACAATTCTGTCGACAAACAGCGCCATTAAAAAAAAAAGACATTGGTTGACAATAGAGGGGTAAGGAAGGTTACAGGGAATTTATTAGGTATAGCTTCGTTTTTATCTTAAACTGGTTGAGAGAGGTACAGTCTTTAACATGGTTGGGAAGATCATTCCACATTCTGGGTCCCTTGATTTGTAGAGCATTTCTAGTTTGATTAAGTCGTACTCTAGGAATATCAAAACTGTATTTATTTTTGGTGGCTTGCTCATGGGTTCTGTTACAACCTTCTATAAAGCTTTTGAGGTCAGGATTGGCATTACAGTTTAACGTTTTATATATGTATAATACACATGAGAGAATGTGCAGTGACTTAATGTCTAACATATTCAGAGATTTGAGTAGGGGTACCGAGTGATGTCTGGGGCCAGAGTTGGATATTGTCCTAATAGCAGCTTTGTGTTGAGTAATTAGAGGACGTAAATGATTTTGGGTAGTAGAACCCCAAGCACAAATACTATAGTTGAGATATGGATAGATGAGGGAGTAATAGAGTGTCACCAGGGCAGGGCGGGGTACATAATATCTGATCTTAAAAAGAATGCCAACAGACTCATATAGAATAGGGTAGCAGCACATTATTGTATATACCTAAGCTCTTAATAAAATAAACCTTGTAAATAAAAAATGATTAATAATAATAATTCATAATATTATGATGGTGACTGGCAACAGCCTTGAGAGCTCCGAGCCTCTTTATACTGACGAGAATTAGTCTGTGCCTTATTTATTTTTAAGTGTTGGCTCTATTATACTTATTATACTATGTTACTGTTTTGTTATATTTGGCATGTATGACTAACCATCCTATGAGATGGGGGATATTCGATTAACTTATAACGGTTTTTTTTATCTTCATCTTTTTCTTTTCTATATTAAAGATTAAAAAGTGATCTTGAAAAGATCACCAGGGGAAATGTGCGGACCTTTGACAAGCCGCCGGCTTCCTCTCTCCGTCGAGGCCACTTTACTAGTTACCTCGGGTAAATTCAGATAAATTTAAAATAGGGAAGCATTACATTGCCGTGTATACCCAAGCTTATTAATACACAAAAAAACGTTTTACGTAATAGTGGCTTTATTAGTATTGGAAATGCTGTCCCCATAATTGCACTTTAGTCCTATGTTCTTTGTACACAGATTCTTTTGACAAAAAATTTGAATTCGAAGTTGACTAATAATCCTTCCATATAGTTTTTTTGGGTATATGTTTATCTCAGAATATTCGGTAATGTTTATTCTTTGTGTTGTGTGTCTATATATGTATTAACACGATGTACTGAACGGGGTGGGAATAGTTTGAGCTACCTGATCCCTTTGTGTGTATTTTACCTCAATAAACTTATTTCAATTTAAATTTCCATATAGTTGGTCCTCAAGGCGCCATTTTCTGTGGTGAGAGGCACGAGGAGTACCGTAAAGAAAGCGACCCATACTTGTTATCGTGGCCTCTTGTTCCGCAACCTTCTTCTTCCTCGGAGGTAATTACACCAATATTCGCATTTAAAGTCTTTATTATGTTCATGGACTAAAAGAAATGAGAAGGGCATGGTATATAAGGGTCAGTTGGTCACTTGAGCTCATATTATGGTAAGTAATTGACGATTTAGTTTAACCTTAGTTTACCTAATTTATCCAAAGGATTATACTCGCGCTAGGAGACTGATAGTCATATGATTAGCTTTACTTGAAAAAGTTTAAACTGGCAATAGAGTGATTGCTTGCCATATAAGTTAAGCAGTGATGCTAGAATATCTGATGGAAATTATAAACCTGTCATGATAGTTGTACGGTCAAAACGTGCACAAGCGCTTCGACGAGGCTCATTTTCTTTTTCACCTGTGTATTGTTAGGTTAGGCTGGGTTAGGTATTAAACCTTGGCAAAACTTAATGGGTATGAAGTGCTCTGTCGCCTAAGCTGGAAATGTTCTGAAGCGCTCCAAACTTGCCCGGCTCTACAAAGTTATGTAGTCCACATACAGTACAACACGGGGTTGTTTCATATAAACTAAGATGCGTATGTGGAGGTACCGGCATTCTATGTATATTGGCAAAAATTTTCATGTATTTCATGATTGATAAAAGCAAAGTGCAGACCCTGAGACGAATACTTTATAAACTTTTCAAAACTTAACCCAGAGAAATATCTTTTCTAATCAAACCTAAGCCAGCCCAACTCCTAGAAGAAACCTTTCTTAACTGAACCTAACCTAAAAGTCCACTACGGGCTCACCATAGCCCGTGCTACTTGGAACTTTTTGTTCCAAATCTTAAACAACAACAACAGTAATCTAACCTAACCAATAGAAGAAACGTTTCCTAACTAACTTAACATAACCTAACTCACAGAAGAAACATTTCTTAACTAACTTAACCTGGCAAAATGTCGTCGTCTCTTCAATTACTAGTGTGTGGTTTGGTCAACATTTTTCAGCCACGTTATTGTGACTCATCATCTGCAGTGTAGCATGTCAGTTTGTTCTGGAAAGGAAGGGAACTATCAGGGGAAAGTACCAAGTCATTACGACTATATAGCACTGGGAAAGGGGTCTGGATAAGGATTTGGGATGGGACGGGGAGAAGGAATGTTGCCCAACCACTTGGACGGTCGGGGATTGAATGGCAACCTGTATGACGCGAGACTGTCGCTCTACTGTCCGGCCCAAGTGGCTGGAGCTGGTCCTAGGGTATAACATGACCTCAAACATAACTGGCCATTGTACACCACCAATATCTTAGCCATCTGTCTTTTTATCTTGAGCTGGTGCAGTCATAAATTATATTGTTATAAATTATTTCCATTTCTCATAGTTCATATTGTTGGCAAAGACTTTCCTCTTCCAAACTGTGCTCTGACTTGTATTTGTTTTCAGTACTTATGTTGTGTGGGCTTCTCAGGAGCAATAAAACATCTTAATAATTAGCTACTAGTAAACACTGTACTGAATAAAATTATATTTCTTATTAAGTTATTACTTATTATTTTTATTATTCCTAGAAACTTTCCATATTAAGACTATTCATAGCCCAGTTGATAGAGCTTGAGCCTCCCGAGCCTGAGCCCGAGCCTTTGGGAGCCCGAGCCTTTGGGAGCCGAGCCCCTGTTACCTAGCAGTAAAATAGGTACCTGGGAGTTAGTCAGCTGTCATGGGCTGCTTCCTGGGGGTGGAGGCCTGGTCGAGGACCGGGCCGCTGGGACACTAAAGCCCCGAAATCATCTCAAGATACCCTCAAGATAAGATAACCTAACCCTCAAAATTCAAATTCAAAATTCAAATGTTTATTCAGGTAAAGTACATACATACAAGGTGTGATACAAATATTGATGAATTTATAGATAGAGCTAGTACATACAATGCCTAAAGCCACTATTACGCAAAGCGTTTCGGGCAGGAAAAACACTAGACTAAAACTTGATACTAATTGAGATTAAAGTACTGTATAAAATGTGATGAGAAAATATAAAAATAAAAAAGGGGGGAACATGGCAGAAAAACAGCAAACAAATATATTTGGTCGACAAACAGCATTGTTTAAAAATAGCAGACATGGGTTGACATTTTAGGGGAAGGTAGGTTACAGGGAGTTAATTAGGTAGTGCTTAGTTTTTATCTTAAACTGGTTGAGAGAGGTACAGTCTTTAACATGATTGGGAAGGTCATTCCACATTCTGGGTCCCTTGATTTGTAGAGCATTTCTAGTTTGATTAAGTCGTACTCTTGGAATATCAAAAAGGTATTTGTTTCTGGTGTGGTGCTCATGGGTTCTGTTGCAACCTTCAATGAAGCTTTTAAGGTCAGGATTGACATTACAGTTTAGCATTTTATATATATATAATACACATGAGAGGATGTGCAGTGACTTAATCTCTAACATATTCTGAGATTTGAGTAAGGGTACCGAGTGATGTCTTGGGCCAAAGTTGGATGTTGATATATGAACCTATTCCCAGAGAGAAAAAACAACTACAAAAAACTTTTTTCACCTAATCGAAGGCTGTTCTTAGATGGTGGTGGGCCCAAATGGGAACAATTATTGGTAGGGTCCCAGGTTAACAGCCAAGGTCTGCTTTTGTGAGATGATTTACTGTATTAACAATGTTCCTGAGCATATTGGGCTCTTATCATATCTTCTTTTGAAACTGTGAATGAAGTCAGCCACATCACTTCCCAATGCATTCCATTTATTAACTGCTCTGACATTGAAAAAGTTCTTTTTAATATCTATGTAGCTCATTTGGGTACTCAGTCTCCATCTGTGTCCCCCCCCCTTGTGCGAGTGTGCTCCTTGCGCCTCCTTGATGGGAAAGAGAAAGGGGAGGCAGGGTTTGGCTGTGGTCCCCAGTAGGCCTCAAAACTCCACGGCTGATGCGACCGCCTGTTTTCAGTTCCGAAGCGGGACTGCGGATCTGCAGTTCTTTCTGGACTTGTCCTGTCTGAGGCCCTGGGTCTTTTGCCCCTCCTTTCGGATGACCACTCTGTCTCGGGTCCGGCTGCTTTTGGTGCCGGGTGCTTGGATGGTATCTCTGGACCTCTGGGACACGTATTGGCACGTCCCAATTCAATTAGGGGTTTGGGTTCTGGCTTACCTCGACTACTGGCTGGTCTGGGCTCCCAGCTAGTCTGTGTGTGTGCTCGCCAGGAATTTGGTTCTTTTCCAGCTCGCCGGGTTTGGGTTCTTGGTGAACTGGAGGAAGTCCCATATGGTTCCCTCTCGAGTTTGGACTTGGCAGGGACTCTTGGACCGCTTCCTTGTCTCTCCCTCCCGTGGCGTTGTTATTGCAGCTACAATCTCGCCTTCGACTGTTTTTGGAGGGCACCCGGGTCACTCGTCGGTTGTTCGAGTAGCTGTGCAGCAGTCTGAACTGCACCATGCTGGTCTACTCGTCGGGTCGGATCTGCTTTGGCAGCTGTTCTGGTTCCTTTGGGGACATCCCCTCTGCCGTTCTCACCATCACTGGGTTAGGTAGGTTACAAATACGTTACATTTGACCCCTGGGGCTTTGCGTCAGCTGCTGCATCGCCTGCTTCCTCTTCGGGTTTTTCGGGGTTCTGTGCCTTGTGTTTCAGGTTTTTCGGGGTTCTGTGCCTGTGACTCACTCGATGTCTTCACAGATGCCTCGTCTCTTGGCTGGGGGCTTTGTGACCAGTGCTCACCAGGCTGGCCAGGGTCAGTGGGGTCCGTCCTTCCATCGGGCTCACAGCACGGCATGGGAGTTTACGTTGGTGTGGCATTCGCTTCAGAGGGTTCATGTCGTTTGCGGAGCATCAATCTGGCTCCATTCAGACAGCTCCCCTGTGGTTCATTGTCTGAACTGCTGGAGTTCAATGAGGTCCTTGGCTCTTTGGGGATAGTCGCTTCGGGTGACTCGTCTGCTGAGCTCACAGGGTTTGGCTCTCCTGGCAGTTCACGTTCAGGGAGTGTTGAACGTTCTGGGGGACAGCCTATCTCAGTTCATTGCTCTTTCCACAAAATGGACGATCTATGCCAACTCATTCAGTGGGCTCTTCCGAATGTACGGGCGCTCGGGGGTGGACCTCTTTGCGTCGGTGTGGTCGAGGCATCTTCCAGTGTATGTAGCACCCTTCCTCGACTGCAAGGCCGTCGAGGTGAGGTTACCTGTACCTCCTCCCACCGGTCCGGTTGTTGCTCCGGGTGCTAGCTCGCTTGGAGACTTACCATGGAAGAGTAGTCCTGTTGGCTCCTTGGTGGCTGGCCCAGCCCTGATTTCAAATGCTGCTTGCTCATTGTCTGAACCTGAGGGGCTTCCCACGGCTCCACCTCTTTCAGCAGATCCATTCTTTCAGCTCTTACCATAAGTTTTTACGGGTGTTGTTTTACCTCCAGCCTGCTCATGTGCCGCCTGAGCCATCCTGGTCATTGGACTGGGTTCTCTCTCTTCTCCTTAGTTTGTGGCAGCCTCCTTGGTTCAGGACTGGTTTTCTATGGCTCTGTTTTTTCTTGTTGACATTGGCCTCTTGGTGGGGGGGTCTGGTCGGGAAGCTTCATGCTTTTCTCCGGCGCAGGCATTTCTGCTCTTTCGGACCTGGTGATCGTTTTATTCGTTTGCAGTTGTTTCCTTCTTTTCTAGCGAAGAATGAGTCTGCTGCTTTCCGAAGGGGTCATTCAGTGGTTGATGCTAGGTTGGTTCGGCCGGGGGTGCATCATGCTTTGTGTCCGATTGCGGCTCTTCGCCATTATTTACACACCACAGCCTCCGTGGCACTCCACCTGTGTGCGTGGGACGCACTTTGGGTGGATCTTTGGCTTTCATTAGATAAAGAGAAGTCAGTCCAGAGAAAAAAAAGGTCCGTATGAACACCTCCGATGACAGTTTTGTTGTTGTTTTGCAAGACGAGTTTTCCACATGACGAGCTCGGTGTCGGAACAGATTAAACTCATTAATCGAGGCGGCACTGTACCTAATATATGCAATCTTACGTTGCATGTAGTACATGTTTGGACACTACAGGGCCTAGA